TTCCCCCCCCCCCCCCTTTATTTTGTAAAAGCAAGCACATGCAGACAAGTTGAATAATATGAAATCGTGTAACAACAGTAACAAAATTATACTGGCAAACAAACATAAAATGAAGGAAGGAAACGGTAAAGATGCAAAAGTTTTTTTTATTTCCTTGTTCTCCCGAGTATTCCTCATTTCCTCCAGCAGGGCAGAGGACATCTGGGAGGAAAGAAAAGAAAATCTGAGTCAGCAGCAGCGGCGGCTTCAGTCTGCTTCTCAACTCAACTTCCGCGGACCGATTTAAGCTCATATCTCCATAAAATACCACTTTAATGCTTATCAATGAGCCTGCAGGAGTCTACATTACTCTAAGAAGCATCTGTGGAGGAAAAGTCAAAACCGAGGCTCAGAAGAGAGGAGAGCCCGTCGGAGGTACAAGACCATACACGTTGTTTTTAAAAGTAAAATGTAGTCGTGTGTGCTACTTTAACTTATATATGTTTCTAATTTGGGACTTTACAGAGATTGTACGATTCTTAGGATGATGTTTGAACGTAAAAAAAGCTTTTGAGTTTTGTCGTAACCAAATTATCCTTCTTCTTCTTCTTCTTCAGGGCAGGAGCTTTGATGAACTAGAGGATTAAAGCAGATCTCGACAGTAAGTGGATCAGCAGTGATTACAATGGTCTGGTCTGGCTCTGCATCTGCTCATTTTATTGTACAATGTGTGTTAGAAATATTTTCTCTCACTACAGTTTATGGTTTGACTTGGGTCTCTGCCTGGCCCTATGTCTTTATTTCCAGTAAGCTGTAGTGTTTTCAGTGGGGGAGAGAGAGAGATTTGTGTGTTGGGGGTACAGTCTGTTATGGTTGCCTGAGTAAATAAACACATGTAAAGATGGCAGAGGAATGGAACTGGAGTTAATTCAATGTTTAAATAGAGTAATTCAAAGTATTTTATTTTGATGTTATAACCGGACTTTTTAATATAAGATTGTTATGCCAAAATATATTTACTGTACAGTTAAGTTCAGAACTGATTTTCATTGTAACACACATTTTGCTGCAACACAACATACAAACTCAACAGAAACAACATTGAAAAAAGAGCACAGTTGAAAATAGCAATTCAGCTGATGATTATTTCCATTATAGATTACAAACTTTTTATTTTATTTAGATTTATGTAAAATATCCCCTGTGATGTTTTCACATCATCTTTTTGGACAACAGACTTAGAAAACCAGAAAATATAATAATAGAAAAAGTACATTTTGGGGTTTTCACATATAAATTGGTGACAGCAGGCCTGATGATTGGGCCTACAAATACTTCTCAGCAGCCTTCATATGATGGAGAAACCACTTTACAAACATGTATTTTTCCCTCTGTCTAGCTCACCACATGTCCCTCTGATAAATAATTACCTCGAAGCTTCATGTCCGTCCGAATTTCAGCCATGAGTGTTCTTCCTCCTGTTCGAAAGGACCGTGTCATTGCTCAGCTCCCTCAGGTAAAATTATTTAATGTCATTAGAGCCTTTAGTTTTCCACCATCAATCTGAAACTGCCTCGCTTATGCTTCTTTGTCTCTTGTAGTGTTTCAGGAAAGAGGCTGCTTTCCACACAAAGGAGGATTTCAACAACAAAGTGAAGACGGCATGTCAGGAGCAACGAACCGGCACTGTGGGGTGAGAACAGGAACCAGCAGCCATGTGACGCTGGATGAGGTGTTTTTGTGGCATTTATTTACTTGTTGCATCTCCTATTCTTCTCAGCAGATTTAAAATCTCCAAGGTGATTGTTGTGGGTGACCTGGCTGTGGGGAAAACCTGTCTGATTAATAGGTAAGCTCAACACAGTCAATGCAGCAGTTCTGGGAATAAATAATTCACACAATAAAATACCTCAGAGGACCTGTACCTCCTGTGAATATTATTAATTATTAAACAGGATTGAAATCTAAAATAAATGAACACTGTAATAGACATTGGTCGAAAGTGACCAAGTAGGTTTACATAAGGACTGTACCATGTCATTTTGCTTTAGTTAAGAATTCCAACTGTGCCACTTTATACATGGACTCAACTACAACTCATCTTTACTGCACTACATTTATCCAAGCTGGATTTACAACTTTCTTCATAAATAAAACATGTGATAAAGATTAAACTACTCAAAAAGCGGTAACATTTAAATTCTGCTGACATGTTTAAGCATCCATACAAATGTTCTAATAATGTGATGTTTTTATTAATATAACTCTAAAAGGCTTAGTAATTTAACTTTAAAACTTGTATTATCTTATTTAAGTTCAATTATGAATTTAAAACTATTGCTGTTGGTATTGCTATTTTCTAAATTAAATCTGCAGAGCATTGCTTTGAGATATTTTGATGTGAAAGAAATATCTACATTGCATTTAGCTGACGCTTTTATCCAATGCGAGATTTAAGATTAGAAATGAAAACATTTTGTCATTACAGATTTTGCAAGGATGCTTTTGATAAAAACTACAAGGCAACGATCGGCGTGGACTTTGAGATGGAGCGCTTTGAGGTGCTGGGTGTTCCTTTCAGCCTACAGCTGTAAGTCTAATGTCTACATTATTTCAAACAAAACAAACAACTGAGTCTGTGTGATGGGACATTGCCTGAATGTCTGCCTCTCTTCCAGCTGGGACACTGCAGGCCAAGAGAGGTTCAAGTGTATTGCTTCTACGTACTACAGAGGAGCCCAGAGTAAGGGCTTTGTGTGTTTCTTAAGGGACTAGTAAGAAATGTACTCAAGAATGTCTTCTCTCAGGGGACAAAAGGAAGCTGTAAATACATTACTGGAATTTGTGGCTCCTAAACATTTTATTGATGTAATATTTTCTTTCCTTCCAGTTGTGATTATTGCGTTTGATGTAACTGACATCGCCTCTTTGGACCATGTGAGGTAAGCTCATTCATTATGAGCCGTTAGTTGGCACAGTTTTCTGTCCCAGCTGGAAGACTTTAACCTGTCCTGTTCTGTGTGCAGGCAGTGGCTGGAAGACGCCCTGAAAGAGAACGACCCCACCGCCGTCCAGCTTTTCATCGTGGGCACAAAGAAAGACCTGAGCGTATGTTTTCTTTTAAATTGGACATGCCTGTGAATGTGTTTTTTTAAAACGAATGTAAATACTTTGGATTGTTGCCAGCAGCACAAAGCATTTGCGTCCGACACTAACTTCAGGAATGTAGCTTCCCCCGACCTTCACTTCACGAGAGGTTTCAGAGAGAGGCTGCAGACATTTCTTAGACATTACTAACTGTATTTAAGCAGTGGTGGGAAGTTAAATGCAGACTCACATTTCAAGAAGTTTGTCATTTGTGTTGAACTACTTGAAATGTGTCTCTCTTTTGACTTTACTGCAACTTTTACATAGAAGGTATTAGCACACTGAGATTTAGTGTTTTTGTCTATTATGTACATGATAACAAATTAGATGAACACATCAGTAATTTACCTTTTATTCATGGAGTGCTTCTCTTGTACTTGAGTCACTTCCTTGCTGTAGAATAACATACAGTACTTAAAATATAGAAAGAAAACTTTATAAATTTGGGTTTTGACTGTCAGTCGGCAAAAACAAGCAATTTGAAGCCAGAGCTCTGGCCATATTTAACTTGATTTCACATTTTATGGATTTAAGGAATAATACATAAAGCAAATTTTTTGTTTGAGATTATGCCCAACTGTCTGCTCTGGTTTCTCCGACAGTCTCCTGCTCAGTATTCTCAGATTGAACAAGACGCCCTCAAATTAGCACAAGAGATCACAGCAGAGTATTGGGCTGTGTCCTCGCTGACAGGTGAGCAATTTATATTTAAATACATTAACCTGATCAGTGTGGGTTCAGAAATGGGTGGGTAGTCTGATTTTGGGGTGTAAAGCAGCAGAGGGTCTTTAATTTTCTTCTGCCATACTGCATATTTATTTTGTATTGCCTCATTTGGAGGTAATATTTACTGTAAAAAAACATGCCTTTTACACGTTTTTCCATTTACAAGAACAACAGTGGTGATTTGTAACAGGGCTTTATTTTGTGTTTGTCAGAAGAAGCAATACGTTGTTATAAGAAACATGTAGTAAGGAGCAGTTTCATTGAGGAGCATGCCGTTTATTTAACTATCCAAGTCCATCACTGATCTAAATTCCCTCGGTGCTGTAGGGGAAAACGTCAAAGAGTTTTTCTTTCGAGTTGCATCGTTGGCATTCGAGACCAACGTTCTAGCCGAGTTGGAGAAGAGTGGGCCGAGGCAAATTGGGGGCATAGTCAGTGAGTATCAAAACCCATCTCTCTGATCATAAAAACCATCACATCATTGTCTAGTAGTTTTAACACCCAGCTTTCAATTTTTTCCAGGGATAAACAGCACGCCAAGCAATGCGAATGCTTCAACAAAGAAGAAACAGCCAAACTGCTGTCAGTAGGGAGGTTTGAAGGGGGTAAAGACTGAAAATAAGAAAAAAGGCTGGAGGGATTTCTGTGGTGAAAGCAGGACGAGGACGCTGGAGTTTCTACTTCCTAACATCAGTGGGTTCAGTTTTTCCTGGCCTAGAAATAGTTTTCCTCTGTGGGATGTGGATTCTTGTGGTGTTGCTCGTGAACGTTAAAGTTACACAGCAATTACACAAAACTGACTGGTACTGCAGAAATGCCAAAGAGAGACTGTGGTTGTTTTTTTTTAACATGGGAGAGTGTGGATGCTAAGAATCAGTTTGAGCTGCTGTAGTTTGTTTCATAGATTTTTCTTCACAATAATACTAAAGTATGCTAAATGGCCTTTTTTAATGTGGCACTTCAAGTGTTTTCATAATGTCATAGATTTTCCCAACCTTAATGTAGGACATAAGAATAGATCACAGGAAAATAACATGATATTTTTTAATCTACAGTATTTGCTTCATAGGTACTTCTGCTTGTTTAAAATCAAATCAATGATTGCATTTTAATTATATTATCAACAACTGAAACAGTGGGTACAAATATTTTATTCATGGTATGTTTAACATGTAATAAATATATATGTTTGAAAAGTAATTATATTATGTTGTATTTTTTTTCAAGCAGTTATTTAGTATAGCTTGTGTTAAAACATTTACAACACGTTTATGCTGGTACTTATTTTTTGAGCAATATCAGCAAAGGAGAATATGCATATATAAATCTTTTTTTACTGAAGTTGTAAGAAATGCAAATGTATTGTTCAGTTAAAACTTTTGAAGGAATCTAGATACTTCAACTGCATGTAAAATGATCTGTTTATTTTTTTACAAACATTTTTCACTGACAAACCGATTCTATTTTATAAGACATGGATAAACGTTTTGTATACTGTATCAGGCGCAAAATACAAAGCAAACAACAGCATTATAAAAAGCACTGATGTGGTGAATACATACAGATGAACAAGCACATGTTTAAATTAAAGCAAACATTAACATCGCTCTCTAATCGTCCAACCAAAGGCTTTTCTTTAACTAATAACAAATTATAGTAATACATAAACAAATACATTTCAAATAATAGTTTTCCAAAACAGTTACAAAAAAAATGGTTTGGAAATATCTAATATTTTTGGTCGGACCTAAAGGGATATTTTGTGTATTCATTATTTAAGCAATAGCTCACGACAGGCCGTGGTATATGCTCATTATATCACAGCTAAGGGGCGTGGTTCGGCCCGACGCGAAGCGTCACCCTTAGCTGTGATATAATGAGCATATATCACGGCCTGAAGTGAGCTATTGCTTTTATAAAACGGTTACCAAGTGTGGCAATATGAAAGAAAAATACACACTCTAATTTAAATAGTTTTTATCAGTAAATAATGATGTTCAAAATAAAATAGTGCCTCCGTTGCCTTCTGCACAAAACATAGTGCAAGGTGGTTGCTATGCAACAACACTAACAGCAAGCGAACATATTAGAGAGCGTTGATCCATTATTTGGCTGTTTATTTACATTAATGTGTATGTTGCTGTTTATTGTGCATCCACTGAAAAACTGTCCAACATCAGTAGCATGGCTTACGTGGTCACTTGTAGCCTATAAGTTGTTCGAGGCTGTTGCTTGGCGTGGCGAGAATATTGCTCCACTTTCTCCGGTCCCCGAGATTGGGCTTCCAGTTACAATTCTACCACGGGTAGAATTGTAAGTTACTTTTCACAACAAGTCAGTATCCCTCCGCGTCTGAGAAAAACAGTATACCGTTGGGCTGAAAAGCAAACTGCCTGCAGAAACAAACTGCCTGGAACAAGAAAGCACCGGAGAAGTAACGGGGCAGAAGCCCTCCTTTTTGACGCAGCGGTCCAGACATAGACATCAAACGGCAAAACATATTCAGTGTACAGTTCCTTTGGCATTAGGGCAGGGATATCTAGATACTTTTGAAGGTTTAACATAATGAATTGTGCTACTTTTAAAGCAAGCAACGATGTTTTCAAATCTGTAATCAAAGAGGTCCGCAAAAACGCTATCGACCAATCAGATTGCTTGATTTGACTTGTCAGTTTTATAAATATATTTAAATTTCTTCCGTTACGAAACAAACTTACAAAGCATAAAATGGAAACATTTAAGATTAACTTCGACCTCCGGGGGGGTCTTACTATAGTATGGAGGAGTGGATTGAGCAGTGCCTATCTCCAGAAAAAAAAAGCACCTAAACTACGACATGCAGAGCTACGTGNACTTACAAAGCATAAAATGCAAACATTTAAGATTAACTTCGACCTCCGGGGGGGTCTTACTATAGTATGGAGGAGTGGATTGAGCAGTGCCTATCTCCAGAAAAAAAAAGCACCTAAACTACGACATGCAGAGCTACGTGAAGAGCAGGTAGACCAACTGGAAAAGTACCACCATTCAAAAGCTTTCTGATGCGGGTCTTGAAACAAAGCAGAGAAATTATGACCGTTAGTGGCCACAGGTGCGAAAGCTCTCTCCAGAGCTACTGGAAGCCCAATCTCGGGGACCGGAGAAAGTGGAGCAATATTCTCGCCACGCCAAGCAACAGCCTCGAACAACCTCAACCTATACAAGTGACCACGTAAGCCATGCTACTGATGCTGGACAGTTTTTCAGTGGATGCACAATAAACAGCAACATACACATTAATGTAAATAAACAGCCAAATAATGGATCAACGCTCTCTGTCTAATATGTTCGCTTGCTGTTAGTGTTGTTGCATAGCAACCACCTTGCACTATGTTTTGTGCAGAAGGCAACGGAGGGACTATTTTATTTTGAACATCATTATTTACAAATAAAAACTATTTAAATTAGAGTGTGTACTTTTCTTTCATATTGCCACACTTGGTAACCGTTTTATAAAAGCAATAGCTCACTTCAGGCCGTGGTATATGCTCATTATATCACAGCTAAGGGGCGCGGTTCGGCCCGACGCGAATATACAAGACTTACTCTAAATTGGCATTAACTTTATTTATTTGTGATGTCCAAGATGAAACACCTAACATTAACACTAGAGGGTGCCGTGTCTCAGGGAATAAAAGGACAATATCATCTGGGTCATGTCTGGTGTCATTACTATGTCAACATAATCGATAACTATTTTCACAAGGATGCATTAGTAATTTTAAAGCAATAATGCCAGTTTTTTTTATTTGGTTGTGGCAGATGTAAGGATTTCATACTTGTCATATGTAAAAATGAACTCCTTATCTGTTTTGTTTTTTACACAATATATATGTTATAATCTGGTAAAACTAATCTTCAATTTTTTTGGTTCGAATTCTGTAATTTATTTCACAAATACAGTGGTGCATTGAAGCTGCTCTTACACTTACATCACCTACAAAAGTATTTCAGGACATAGATTTTGGGCCAGTTGCGATCTAAGGAATTATTTAACAAGTATATTGTATTTTAAATGGAAATGATCCAATTATAAAAACGATTATTTGCAAATAGCATAAACTGATACATATCCTTGTCAAAACTCACAAACAGTTGTGTGGCTTTTTTTTTGCTGAAGCTCTCACAACCCCAGGGATTTCCAAACATGGCAGCTGGGAAAACATTCATCTCCTCAAGAGAAATAACTGATATGATTAAAGGGTAAAAAGCAGAGGAATATTAACCTGGTTTTAGCACATCCAATCTTACTTCCAAAGTCTTTCTTTGCCTGTGTAGTCAGTGTATGTCTGGTTTTGGGTTGCCACACAGGTGACCGGCTTTGCGGAAAACCAGAAAACCTTTTCCAAGGGCGGTGGCAACAGAAGCACCTGAAAAAAACAAAAACATTCATCCACACTGATATGTCTCAGAATGTATCACCATGTTGCTAACCCTCAGTGTGAATTGGAGGAAGAGTGCTTTCACCTATTGTCACGCCTTGTGCTATGTGCCATTTAAAGTCAAAGTATCTACATGTTAGTATCTGAAATCAGAGATGAGGTAACACGTGTGATTGCCTTTAATCTAGCCTTATATCCTTCTTAAAATGAATTGGAGTGTTTTCCAACCAAGAATGAATCCCATTGCATCTATCCCAGCAACCAGGTCAATGGTGTCGCCGTGGAATGGACTGAGAAGGTATTTGAGACAGTTTGTTAGAGCCTGAATGCAGAGCAAGGACAGTAAATGCACACAATGCAAACAAATTGTTATATCTCTCACAGGCTCCGCCCTCTACTGGACTCTGGGTACTACCAGTGGCGGCCGGCCCATAGGGGCGCTAGGGGCGCCGCCCCACCTCTTCCCACATGAAAAATAAAGAAATATTTAAAAAGAAATATTTTTTATTTTTAATGAACAAGGTAAATATTATATAATTGGTATCAGTAAAATGTATAATCTACAATAAAATATCGTTTAAAATTGTGTTACGATGTCTAAAGTTACTGATAAGTCACATGTTTCCTGCCTGGCCTTGCCATGTATCATTACCCTCTCTCTCTCTCGTCGTCTGGGCGCTAAGAGAGAAGCCCTCAACCAGTGCAGCAGCAGCTGACTGTTGCTATCTTTAAACTATGCCGCCAAAACATAATTTCAGCCAATCAGCGTCGTCAAATCTGATGGTCACAAGGCGCCAACGTCAGCGCCCGGTGCAGTCTGTGAGTTGTTTGGACTCGTATCCAAGGAGACAAAACAGGAAGCTGTCATTCACTCTGGAAGCTATCATTAACAGCTAATGAAAACTCCGTTTTTGACATAAAAATGGAATTATGGATTATCAATACTTTTTCAAAGTGACAGACACATTGGATTAACCTATGGATTAACCTTCAGCCGCGTTTTTCTCGTTTTTGATCAGAATAACAGCAAAAGGTGAGCATATCTCCGTGTTTTGCTACCTAAAGCTGTGTGATGTCTGTATTTGCTTCCCCTCAGGAGCGGCGGGTACTGTAGGCTAGGGAAGGCTAATCCTTCCCAAATATTTTTGTCACTGCATCCTGGTAAAATAAAAATATAATGTATAATGTTTGTGTCTTTG